CCATTCGATCTCTTAGATTATCGTCGTGGTTATTGTTGACAGTATGAACGGTTCGATACAAAATATATTTAATCATGAAATACTTTGCAAATTTTTCTACATAAAATTAATCGCAAAAAGATATTATAATATTCAATATCGTTTTACCAGGTTAAATTCCCCAGCCTCATTTGAGATGCCAATGGAGGGGTTTTGGGCCATGAGTTGCAGTTATCTCTGGTATTATACTGTTTTCAAAGCACGTTTTTGGAGGGTGCTTCAACGTTTTCTCCTTCTAGAAAACTCTAGGCTTTGTTAGTGTTACGCAGTGAAAGATATTGATCACAATGAGCAATTAATTTGGGTATCAAGGCCACTCAATTTTATAAATGGACTTTAAGTCTAATTCAACCCTACAAAATCAACTTGTAAAATAAGATTTACACTCACTTATAAACTATGAATTGATCTTATCTCCAGTTGAGGTAGGACTTACCACCTTCAATGTGGATTAGAGACTTTTACACTCTATTTTGTTTGGGAAGAAAAAACCACAATGTTGTCTTTTGTTTTTCCATTCTAATTCAAATTATTTGTCTCACACACTCTTGTACATTGTTAGGTTTCAATCAAGCATGTAAAAAATTATTTGTCAAACTAAGGCTACGAAAGTGTACATTTACCACAGAACTTGCATCTCAAATTAATTATTCTCTATTTTTTTGTCTAGTATGTATTTTCAACTGTTATTGTCAGCTTAAAATTTGCAACACTATTAGCGATAATTCTATTAGTAACTTTTGGTTTGAGGATTTAGAAATAAGAAGGCTGTTCTTTTCTTTTAATTATTGTTTGATGGTTAGAGATCGGATAGATTTTCGTTACATTTGATACGATTAGACAGATATTGATGTATACCTTGTTTAATGTGTTTGTTTTTTAGAAATAATAAATGTTAAAATTAAGGATGATATAAATTTGAGTTAACCTTTATAAAACTAATTAAACATGAGTTATTTATAAGTTGTTTTGTCATTTAAAACTAATATAAAAATAAAAAATTTACATTTTTTAAAATTTATTATTTTTTTCGGAAGTTATTGAAAAAAATAATAATAGTTATGGAAAAAAATAATAATAATAATTATAAATTAAATTTTGTAGGAAAAATTATTTGAGAATTTTATTTTGTAAAAAGTTACTTACAAATTTAAAATACGTAAAAAAAAGTTATTTATGAAATTTAAATTTGCAGGAAAAGTATCTGCTAATTTTTAAATTTATTTTTCCGAAAGAAAAATTGTTATGAATTTTCTTTGCAGAAAATCTTTCTACAAATTCTTTTATAACAGAATTTGCAAAATTTTCTCGGATATTTTTATTTTTCACGAACAAGAATTACCTATCAATATAAATTTGTAGGAATTTTTCCTTCAAATATTTGTAAAATATTTGTAGGAATTTTTTTATGAAATATAAAAAAATTATAGTAGTGTGAGTTTTTTTCATATATTTATTATACTTAATTCAATTCACCTTGAATTACATGTTTTTTTTAAGATTTGTAATTTAAAATTTTTCTGACTAATTTTTTAAGTAAATTACATTATTTAATATTTAAAAATATTATTTCATTAATTGAAACATGAAATGAATTTATTAATAGTAATATTATTTGATAATTTTTGTAGTTGAATTAACTTTTAAATTCAACTTATAAAGCCTGTCTATTTGTAGGAGATAATGGTTGAATTGGTTTAATAAACATAAATAACATTTATCTTATTTTAATTAGCGGTGCAATTCTAATAGAATTTATTTTATTAGAGTATATTTTTTATATACATGCATTAACCTCTTCCTAAAACTACATATTTCAGGGTGTTGTTGTTGCCGCCTGTATTAGTAATTGTGGACAAGTACAATAATGAAAGGACACAACAAGAATAAATTATTTGATACCATAATGAGTACGTGATTAAAAAATGAGAAAACTTTTATAAAAAATATATATAAATAATGCAAAAGAAAAAGTAACAAGTTTTAAAGAAAACTATCAAGTTGTATTTTTGATTGTGTTACAGGTAATAGAATATCATCACTCATTTTTCACTTCTGGAGAATTAATCTTTAAGGTCACTCAATAGACGTTGGTGTCCCAAATAATCAACGTAAATTATTGACCGGTGGCATTTTCGTAAATAAGTGGGCATATAGACATCCGTTAGGAGGGGCACCGACGTCTATAATATTATAGACGTTAGGAGCAAACAACATTATTTGCAAACATGGATGGATAAGTCAAAAAGAGACGTATACTTTGTGTCATACATTGATCGGTATGTGTTGTTATATATAAAAGTTCATTAAAGTTTACTTAATTAGTTAACTAACTATTTGTGATTCGTGATACGTCGCACTGGCAGTTGATGATCATCATTCCCAAACAATGTAAAATTATATGGTTTTGTTCGCTGCACAGGAAAATGAAAACTGACTTGAGAACCATGCTTCAAGGGTAAGTGTTTCTACACCCTTAATGACTTTGAATTTGATGTTCACCTTAAACTTTTATGATAAATATAGTTATATTAATTTTACTTTGTGTTTTCAATCTAAATAGAATTATTGGTAAATCTCGAGGTCAACTAGTTCAAATTTTGTATCCAAAGGTTGTAAGTCATTTATACTTCTAATTCATTTTCTATGTTATTATGATCTAAATTCTTGACTATTTAGTTTATCAATGTGGCTTCTATGTCATGTGTTGGATTAAGACCATCATTCGAGCTGTCATTACAGATGACTGGAATGAGGTAATGATGCATACCTTGAATACATTACAACTCAAATTCATTTTTAAACATATATGAAACCATAATGAATCTTTCTTCATTTTGCAGCGCTTCAAGAGTACATCTCCTATACTAGAAGACACAATTAGACAAATAAAGCAGGAGTGAACAACTTATCTTCTGCAGAGATGGAGCTATGACCACTTATATTTCTTGTTGAACATTAGTTTAGTTTAAGTTTATATTTTTATAGTTTTGGTATTGGATTGTTTTTTACATTAAGTAGAACTTTCTTTATATGAAACGCATATATATATATATATATCTCTATATCTCTATTATATATATATATATATATATATATATCTTATAGTATATTGTTCTGGGACAATTTTCTGTTTTTCAAAGTGTTGTTTTATTGCAAAAGTAAATCAATTTAAAAAAAAACACCCAGTAGACGTCGGTTAATGTACTGCCCGACGTCTATAGACGTTTGTCAATGCACACACCGACGTCCAATGAGTTACAGTGAACAAAACATTTCAGGGCCTATAAACGTCCGATATGCCTACATTCGACGTCTCTATAGACGTTGGATATATCCAGTTCGACGTCTATATCGACGTCGTGTATGTCACCTCTGACGTCTGTATAGACGTTGGATATATCCAGTTCGACATCTACATAGACGTCGAGTATACACTGGCCGACGTCTGGTTAACGTCACTGACAAAGACGTCGGATACATATCTCACGTTAAAGGCTAAAATAACATCGTCTAAAGCCCTTTCTGCATTAGTGTCTGAAAAATCTAACATTAGTTTTGAATTTTTTTATTAATTATATATTAAAAGTATAACTATCAAAATAATTCAAATAAAATTAAATCAAAATTTACTAAATTTGAGTTTTATAAATTAAAAGATGATTTAGAATAGTAAAACGTATACTGACAACAAAAATATTTTTTATTTAATTAAAAATTATTATACATAATATCTCTATTCAGTATAATACAATTTATAAAACTTGAAAAACGGAAACAACAAATTAAAGGTATTTTCATTTAAAACCAAAAATAGATTATAATTCATGAGTAAACCTAATTCAATGAATTCGAGTTAGATTAAAAATGTTTAAGTTTTTTAATTGTGATTAAAATAAGTCTGATTCACTTAATCCAGAAATTGAAAAGTGAACAATTAACAACACTTTTTTAGTTTTTTTTTTAATTTTTAATTATTTATTATTTTAATTATATAAAATCATGATTTGATTTTTTTAAAATGATAAAATATTATTGAATATTATTTGAATAACTTATTCTTTTGTCAAGTTATATATTATGATATTTTAGTTTTTAAATATTATATCTATAATAATATTTAAAGAATTACATAAATATTTTAATTTCATTATTATAAACAAAATAAATAAAACCAATAAACTAATAAAAATGTAAAAATAAAATAAAAATATAATATTCATTGAGATAATGTGAACCATTAGTCCCTAGGGTTGACCAAATTTGAGAGTTTAATTATCGGATTCTCAGCCAACAAATTGCCTCAAACTTCGCGGACATGCAGTGGTGCAGACTCTGCGTCAATCACCTCTCATGGACAATTATTGTTATTGGTTTGAAGAACTAGACATAAATTTCGCTTTTAATGCTCTTTTTAATGCTCATTTATATTAGCTGACGTTTGTTTATGTGTTTAAAAATAGAATAATTTTATATCTTCTTATTGTAGATATTTTTTTTTTGCATTTGAAAATATTAAATATATTTTCATTTATATTTGAAAATATTAAATAATTTTATGTCTCTTATTCTTTCTGTAAATCATAATTAAATAATTTTTATGATTAAACAATTAATTAAGTTAGCTAATAACTTTAAAGGATCATTTTCAAATTTGTATTTAATATTAGTTGGACATCATTTTATTTTCAGAATGGTTTAGTAAATGGTAATAATTCAAATACTACAAGTATATATTTTCCAATAAATCAATACACTATGAAAACATATAAATGTAAGTTTATAAGCAGCATGATAAAGTGATTATATTAATTATTTTCATTATGCCACATATATGAATAAACTGCTGTTACTTCTAGATGATCATATTATCTTGTTATTTGTTACTTCTTCTTTTTTCTTTATCTCTTTCCTCCATAATTTATTTTCAGGTTTTCGAACGTATTCTGAAGGGTATGAGCAGCGAGAGATGTTGGTAGTTAATATAAATAGGGGCACCCTTGGTTCTCTTCTCCATCGAAACAAGAGTTGGGAGGAGACTTTCTTTTTGGTGTTTGTTAGGTTCAAAATGTCTTCACCTTGTGATTCAGTGAGTATGATCTCAAAATGCAAAGTCGTTCCTCAGAAGAACTCTACTATGGGAGATCTGAAACTCTCAATCTCAGACCTTAACATGCTCTTATGTCACTACATCCAAAAGGGCTGTCTCTTCACGACCCCATCTCTACCGTCACAAGCTCTCATCCCTCATCTCACCAAAGCACTGTCTCATACCCTCTCGCTTTTTCCTCCCTTTGCAGGTCGCCTCAAAACCGATGTTGACGGCTATGTCTACATCACATGCAACGACGCTGGCGTCGATTTCATCCACGCTACCGCCACTCATATCTCCCTCGCCGACCTCCTCTCACCCTCCGATGTTCATCCAACTACTAAGCACCTCTTTCCTTTCCACCACAAAATTAGTTACACCGCTCATTCCTCCCCTATCATGGCCTTTCAGGTCACCGAGCTTGCCGACGGTGTTTTCATAGGTTGTGCTGTCTGTCACGCCGTCACCGACGGTGCCTCCTTCTGGAACTTCTTTAACACTTTCGCAGCAATTTCTCGAGGAGAAACCGCTTGTCTCTCCAGCCTCCCGGATTTTCGTCGGGATTCCATCCTCACCTCCAAGGTCGTGCTTCAACTTCCGAAAGGTGACCATACTTTAAAAAATTAAAAAGAAAATTACTTTTTTTTTTTAATTCTTCTATTGAAAGTACATTTTTAATTTCTAAATATACCTGCTTTAGAATTATAATGTTTTAAGTAAAAGAAAATTAATTTTTCGAGTCAACCAGAATAAAAAAATCAATAACAACTTTAAAAATTATATATAGAGATTGTTGACTAACTAATTTTGTTGTTTAAGTAGAAATAAAGGCCACCTTCAACGTTGAGGCACCATTTCGCGAGAGAATCTTCAGTTTCAGCCGTGAATCAATTCAGAAGCTGAAAGCCTTAGTGAACAAACGTCCGATCATGTTCACGCCAGAGAACATTGATGTCGCGGATGAGACGATGGCGAAGCTGAGCACTGACACACAACTGAAAACAGCTACAGAAGGCGTAAGGGGTGAAACAACAGAGATTTCTTCATTCCAATCGTTGTGCGCACTGATGTGGAAGTGCGTGACTAGGGCGAGGAATATGGAGAAGACTAAAGTGACGTCGTTTCGAACTGCCGCTAATATTCGGCAACGCATGAAGCCCAAATTGGGGGATTGTTACTTCGGGAATGCGCTTCAGAGCATTACCACGTGTGCAACAGTGGGTGATGTGGTGTTCAAGGACCTTCAATGGTGCGCAGAGCAACTGAATCGGAGCGTGAAGGCGTTTGATAGCGCCACGGTGCAGCGTAATGTGGAGAACTGGGAGCGTGAGCCAAAGTGCTACGAGTTAGGCAACCATGACGGCGCCACTGTGCAGATGGGAAGCTCGCCAAGATTTCCGATGTATGACAACGATTTTGGATGGGGGAGGCCCATAACGGTTCGGAGCGGCGGAGCAAACAAGTTTGACGGTAAAATGTCGGCTTTTCCTGGAAGAATTGGCGATGGCAGCGTCGATGTGGAGGTGGTTTTGGCGCCTGAAACAATGGCGCAACTCGAGTCCGATCCCGAATTCATGCTTTACGTGTCTGCCCAATGCGTAGAGACACGTGTTTGAATGTGAAGGAAACAATAACTTTCATCATGTTGTTGCTGTTAGATTATATTTATGTTCAAGTTTAGTTAAGTTCTGCCTTGTTGTTTGGGTCAACGTCTTTGCATGGATGTCATTGCTATTTATTATTATTGATTTAACTTCTTGAAAATCTCATAATTTTTATGTTTTTTTATAAAAAATAAACATTTAACTAATAATAAATTAATTTATTCTAATTAGTAGCAATCAGTTTCTTACAATCAGTTGAAGTTTTATTCTACAAGTACCCATAAAATTAAATGAACTAATTGCATTTAATGATTCTACAAACACCACACCAAGTATATTAAAAAAATATCAGCTTTTAGTTTCTCACATATCTTTAGTCCTGATAACTAGATTTTAAGAGAGATTAAATTGTAAGGAAAGAGCAAAGTTATTAAATCTCACGAATACCAAATATAAGTAATAGAAATAAATAAAAGACTGAAAGTGAAAAAAAAAAAAGGTATAGAGTTAAAATCTGAAACTCAGTATGTACTAAAAAATTAAAAAACCACTGACCAGTTGCAAATGGAGCTTGAAAAAAGTTTTCCAGTCTTAAAAGGAATTTATATATATATTATATGCATCACTTGACAACCCGATTTTAAAGGTATTTTGATTATTAAAAAAGTTAATTTTTATATTTATGAAAAAAAGATTAAAAGATATAAAATGGATATATAATGTAAAAATTTATTTGGTGTGAAAATAATAATATCTATCTTAAAAAAACAGAGGAGACTACTCTTTCTGTATACATTTAGTAAGATGTTCTTGACTATTAAACTTTTTCCAAAATAATTTAGGAAATTAGGAAAAATTATTTGAATTTTTTATACACTAAATGTTTTAAGAAGGGGAGTTTTTATATAATAGTTAATTTTTTAATAAATTTGAAATTGAATTTTAACTTAGAAATATTTTATTTTTGAATTTTTTCGCTCTGAAGTCAACGATGCCCTTAATATTAAACGCGTGAATTCGTATGGCTAAACATTCCATTATTAGTGTAAGGGCAGAAATGGAAAAAACAGAAAGGGTAAGGGTAAAACTGAGAAAGCAACTGAGCAGATTAGAATTAAGACATCTAATCTGTC